TAGTTGGTCTCTGGTTGTGCTCTAAGGGATTCTTTCCCTAATGCAATCTTTTCAGTCATGTATTATGGGCATGTTCCATATGACTGTTTGTCATGCTGTGAAGGCATACAAAAGAGCACAAAGGGCACAAAGAAGTATGAGATGTGGATCCCACACGGAGAGAGCTCAGAGTGTAGTGGTGCAGGCAGACACACGAACAAATAATACAGTGTGATGAATAGTACATTGGCCAGGTGTTTGCCAAATACATGGCAACACAGAGGGCTGCTTACCAAATAAAGAGGAGGCTTTACAAGGGTCATCTTTGTGTCAGTTGTTGAAGAATACGTAGAATTTTTCCAGTAGAGAAGAAAGAGGAGAGAAATTCTGACAAAAGGAACTTTGTGGGCAATGAGCAGTTAGTGATTTCTATATGAAAAATAAGACATTATTGGGCAGTTAGACATGGTGAGAGGAACAAGAAATTAAAGGGAAAGATAGATCTTAATGGGAGTATTCTATATGCCATGAAGCTCAGCCTTTATCTTGAAGCAAATTAATGCTTTAAATCAATAGTGTAAAATTACCAAATAGGAACATTTCTAAAAGTAATGTATTGACACTTATATTTAGGTGTTCAAAATAAAATTATAATGATTTGAGGACTAGAGAAACATCCTTATTAATTTTAGTTGTATTTTTCATACCATGTTGTAAGGTAATTTGGTGGATAAAATGGTTACATTTCAATTGTCAAAAAAAGTGCATGTAGACCATAATTTCCCCAAAGTAGAAAGAGAGTATAGGGGAAATTGTCTGCCATGGAGGCAGAGGGAGGGTTGGAAACGGAGGGTATACTGGGGACATTAGTGGTGGAAAATGTGCTTTGGTGGAGGGGTGGGTGTTTGATCATTGTATGATTGAAACTCAGACATGAAAGCTTGTAACTGTATCTCACAGTGATTCAATAATAATTTTTTAAAGTGCATGTGTGTTTTATCTACATAAGGTACTGCTTAAATACATTTACTAATCTACAAGGTAAACTTGATTAGCTCTGTTCATGCCTTTCGCCTGAAATTGCAAACATTTTTTAATACTAAGTGCTGAGGTATGTGCAATATTATTTTTCTGACTTTATAATTATTATGCCTTTATGTCTTAAGTTGTTAATGATATTTTAAAATATCAAAACTGAAAGAACTTTAATTTTATAATTCAAAGAGGCTAACTATAATAAATTTACGGACACCCAGAAAATGCACTACTGTCTATTAATTCTTTCTAAAGTTTGAGATTGTAAGCACAATCTCAAATTATCACAATCTCTAATTATCTTATTTCTTATAGCAGCAAAGCAAAGAAAATTGGCTTTTAGTACTTTGGCTAGGAAGAAAATTTCCCTTTTGATTTTGGTTTTGGGGTGACACCCACCATTGCTCAGGACTTACTCCGACTTCTGTGCTCAGGGATCACTTCTGGTAGGCTTGGGGGACCATATGGGACCATATGGGATTGAACCTGAGTCTGCCATGTGCTAGGCAAGTGCCCGACCTGCTGTACTATTTCTCTGGTGCCAGAAAATTCTCCTTTAAAAAATGTATGAAAAATTATACATGAATTTAAAGTTGTAGATAAACTGAAGGGAGAGAATTACCTTTGATGTAAATGTATTTCACTGGTGCAGTATTATGTTGTATCATTTAATGAAACTTTGAGAATATTTATAAGATTTTTTCTGGAAATCAACTTTTTTTCCTTCTTACTCATTTTTTTAGTGTTGAATATTTTACCTCCCTTGATTTTTAAGAATTTACAATAACTCATTTTAATATAATGTCTGTTGCCAAATATAGACCATCTTATAACTGTCTTAGTGTTTATTTTAGGGAGTTCCAGATGATTTATGATCAAAGTGTTTATTGGCCTTTGGAAACTTTCCCATTATATACTGATTAGTGAAGACTTTTTCACATCTAAAATAAAATATTTTTCTCTGAATACATACACCATATAAAGTTTGTTTTGTTGTTATATGTACCTATTTATTATCTATATATTTAGAAAAACAAAGATGTGAACTCCTTTCTAAAAGTTATAATTCTATTATATTAAAGTCTGTATTTTTTGTTTTGAGATTGTGTTTCCTTTTCTTAATCACTTATATTTTAGTTCTGTCTAGTTTATTATGCGAGTTTCCAATACTGATTTAAATCTGTGATTTATGGCCCAGATAAAGATGTACTCTTATGGCTACATGTTACTACTCTGGAAAAAAAATCCTGTCTATTTTAAGTACAGCCTAAACTTCCTTACTGCTGACCTTTAAGTTTGACTTTTGATACAAGTCATCTCTTTTCACCCCGTGACGTATGTTCTGTGAATGGTGCACAGAGTCTCTAATTGCCTGTAAGCAATTACCAGAATGTTACCTGAATCTCCACTCACCAGAAACAGAAATAGAAAGAGGATCTGGGTTCACACAAACCCTGAAGTTAATGATGACTTGGTTAGATATGATGCTTTTCTCTGTTTAAAATGTTGACTAGATTGTAATTATTTTTTTCTTTCTGATTTTTGTGTGATCTTAATGAATTTTGTAGTTATCAAACAAATGACATGTTCATTGTGTGTTTGGACATGATGGCTTCATATATATATGTTCATATATGTTTCCTAATGCTTGATTATAGATTCATTAATTATTAATTAAAAGCTTATTTCACCAAATGTTTTGTAAGTCCATATATTATAAATGTAGATAGTACAGAGTCTGATACCTGTAGAATGGAAAACATTGTATTCTTCAGTTTTATTTAGGATTCTTATTTTTTTTAATTTATTATAAGATCTACTATTTGGTAACATTCTTATAAGAAAAACTGATAAAACCCTGACCTACCAGGAAATTTAAAAACTAAATTCAAATGTACTTTTAAAATTCATCATTCTTGATGACTTAGTTAAAAAAAATACTGGTTTCATTAAAAACTGAAGAAGTTAAATTGAGTCTCATATAGGCAGGCCAGTGTAGAATAAAAAATTAAAATTAATCTGTGGGAGAAAATGAACAAGAGCAACACCCCAGACAAAGACAATCTGTTGTTGTTTTTATTCTTGATAAAGTTATGTGGCCTTGAGAAAACTTTTGGAGTCTTTCTGGTATACCTCCAGGTTTGTTGTGGGGTTCATTAGCCTCTAAGCTGCTTAATAGCAAAGACTCAACCCATTTCCCTGAGTATATATTAGGGAAATATGTGTGTGTGTGTGTGTGTGTGTGTGTGTGTGTGTGTGTGTTCACAAAGTACTTCACAGAGACTGTTTTTTATTTATTTATTATCTTATGCTTTGTTAGTTCTTAAGCATTGGGATTATCGGCAGAAGTTTACTTTCACTCATCTTTGATACAATTGATCCTATTTGTGTGTGATTTTACCACTTCCTTGAGAACATTTTTTAAAAGTTGGAAATTTTTATCTTTATTACTGAAAGTATTTAACATGTTTCTTATGTGCAAAAATAAAGAGCTTATAAGAATCCTAGGTACTTTCATACACTTCAAAATTACCTACCTCTTCACAGCCAATCGTGTTTCAGTACCCGACTATCCACAACCCCTCCTCGCCACCAGATTATTTCACATAAAATACCCAATAGTACATCATTTAATATGTGAATATATTTGAAGACATGCTTTTAAAAATAAGAAGTATTTTTAAAGGCAATTATAGTATAATTCAAAGATGAGACAGATTAGACATCAAGAAGAACTGCTCTGTTGAGTTGACCATGTGAAATATGTGTAAATGTGATAATTATTTTGAAACCTATGGGACTCCTTCAGAGATTGTTAGGGTATTACCTGGCTACTCTGAAAATTCTTAAATAAAAGAAAATAATAAAGTATTTATCTTGCCTTCCCTGTATGCATTTCAGAATAGCTAAATAATTATAAGATAAAGTTCTTTATAGAATGCTGACAAATATAAGAAGGGATGCTTTTGAAAATCATTCTTATGAAGTAGTTAGTTAGCCAGTGATTTATCACAGGATTCAAAAGCCATCAAGTGAAAAAAATGATAAAAAAATTCATAGTGAATGGATCAGCCAACTACAATGGATTCCATTAATCAAACCTACAAAAAGTGAGTCATCTAAAAGTTATATGCCTCTTGATGTGATGCAATAAAACATCCAAATCAACACCATAGGCATATATTTTTCCCCAGCAGAGTGAAAAATAAAACCTAGAAAGTAATTCTAATCATACTCCAGATATAATTGCTAATGGAAAAAAGGATACAAATGGCTTGAAGGAAAGACAAAGTGGAATTAATAGTTGTCTAAGAAGAATTTGATAGACATCAAACTAGAGCAATAATCTTGTTGGAAACTGATCTTAATAGGTCAGCTAAAATACTGAGGGTGGATAATAAGGGAATATCAGTATAACCTGAGAAAAAGGATGGCAAAGCCTGGCAAGTTACCCGTCACGTATTCGAAGTGCCAAACACAGTAACAACAAGTCTCACAATGGAGACGTTACTGGGCCTGCTTGAGCAAATCGATGAACAATGGGAGGACATTGACAGTGATTAATTTTTAGGCATGGCATGATATTCTGGTTGTGTTAACAAAAAGAATCAGTTAAAACGTCTTTTGAAGTAGTTACAGGTGGAATGGTAGCTTATCTCAGATCTGCTTCAAAGCCTCACTGTTGGGTCCATGCCCCCCAGAACTAGCAGCAAGAACTTTAAAGTCTGTTAAAAATGCACAAACTCATACCCTGTGCATTGTAGAGTAAGAAACTATATTTGTAAGTGTTGAGATCAATATTTCCCGGTTTCTTCCTCTTCCTTGTGCCTTGTTTGTGAGTGTTTGGGGTAAGACTCAAAAACACTACAATTTAAAAATATTGTTCCCTATGGTTCCTTTAAAGGACAGCGACAGTGACAGTGGATGGTTCCTTTAAAATTTATGAAAGGGATGGACACTGATGTATAGTCTACTCCTCTCTCTAGGCAGTCACAAAAAAACCTCCTAAGAGCCTTGATGGTGTTCAATACCATGAAGATGATGATGACATGGAAAGAGCCAGCAAGTAAGTAATGGATTTCAGTGTCCTAAGAGGTATGAATTACTACATGGTGTGACCAAATGACATGCATTTTAAGTTGCAAAAGAAATGTGGAAGAATATGCTTCCTTAGAAATCCAATTTTTCTTTCGGGCTGTGGGGAGCCAGTGCTCATTGGAATCTCATGAGGGAAGGTATCTTGTAATGGGAAAGCAAGATACACCTAAAATATCTTGGCTTAGGAAGCAATAATGCTGCCTGAAAAAAAAAATGTGGGAGACTGTTAAAGGGGAAGTAGAGGCACTTTTCAACTCTTGTCTTCTGAGTAGAAAGGGGCAGGCAAATGTCATGAATAGTGGTATCATTCAGGATGCGAATTAGTTACAGGGAGGGATGTCATTAAGTTTATGATGCTGTCAGACCAGGAAAATATAATACAAAGTTAAAAATGAATTGTAATATAAAATAAGAAACAGTAGTATCTATTTAAGTTATATGGAGATGACAAAATGGACATAAATTTAATTCCTTTTTTAAAAATTTTGGTCTCTATCAAGGAATTTATCTTTTTCTCTAATACAAGTGAATAAATAAATGGAAAGAAAACCATCAGAAAAACAAATTTAACCTGATCTTGGGCTATAGCAGAGTTTCTCTGATCCTGTTTCTAGGACTGCTAACCCAAATACCACAGAATTTAAACTGTGAAAATCTCTGCTTTTGCTTCCAGGATGATAAAGTACCATCAGCTGTTCTTATGTTTGTTTTTAATGCATTTGCTCAAGGTTTCCAGTATTTGAGAGGGCGGGCATCTCTAAAATATTTTGACCATGGACCAGTTGTCAATTCTGTTATTGTTGCACAGAAATGTTACCTTGGCTAAAAAATTCTATTTATTGAAGGTAATAGGTAATAGGTTGCTACTAACTAGCATGTCTGGCTCAGTACCAACCAGCACTTGTTTTATTTTTCTCAGGCTATCTTCTGAAGATGGTGAAGAAGCGACAACTTATTTTTATGAGAGTGATGACTCCATTGAAACCAGAGTAAAGACTCCTTACTCAGGCGAAATGGACCTGTTAGGAGAGATCCTTGATACTTTAAGCACACACAGCTCAGATCAAGGGAAGCTGGCAGCAGCCAAGAGCTTGGATTTTTTTAGATCAATGGAAGATATTGATTACAAGCCTACGGTTAGTGGATTTTTCAACTTATAAAATGAAACAAAAACATTCTTTGTCTTGCTGTGATTAGTCCGGTATTATATTTTACTTGGGTAAAGTATTTAACCTCAAATAGAGGTGTCAACATTTCAGAAATGTAAAATTTGGACACTAAAAATTAGTTCTGGTGACAAAATTATGCTATTTTCCTTTTACATTATACCACTATAGTAGCTATCATCATTAATCAAAATTATCTTGTCAAGCCAAAATATTTTCTTGCAATATAACAGTATAGGATTTTCAGGGCTGGAGCGATAGTACAGCAGGTAGGGCATTTGCCTTGCACACGCCAACCCAGGTTCGATTCCGAGCATCCCATATGGTCCTCCGAGCACCACCAGGAGTAATTCCTGAGTGCATGAGCCAGGAGTGACCCCTCTGCATCACCGGGTATGACCCAAAAAGTCCCCCCCCCAAAAGAAAAAAAAGTATAGGTTTTTCATTAAAGAATTTTAAAAACATGATATTTTCCAATATGCTCTTTCTATATTTTTTATCTCTTCAAAAATATTAATAGAGATAATCAAGTAACTTTTCTATTTTGTTGATCCAAAATGAACGGTGTTGCAGCTGAATAATACAGATAATATAGATTATCCCAATTTATGTCCTCGCCAACAATGTCCAGAAGTATTCTTTTCTCCATATCTTTGCCAATACTTCTAGTTTGGATTTTAAAGGCTATAATTGCAAGGACTTTGTAGCATCTCACTTCACTCCTAGGAGTAGAGCGATTTGCCAGCATTCAAATTAGCAGTCGATGCTATACTTATTAATGGAGGTACTTGAAGGAGGTTATTGAAAGAAAATGAGACTGGGCAGGGAGTGCAGGGTTCAGATGCTTGCCTACCCTGCACACAACTGACCCCAGTATGACCCCAGCTACCACCTCTGGCATCTGAGCACCAACAGGAGTGATCCCTAAGCACAAAAGTCAGAGTGTGGGCCACTGCTGGGTGTGTGGCCCCACCTAAGACCAAAAAAAAAAAAAACCCAGAAAGAAATGTATCATTTTCAAAATGTAAAAGTAATCATTACTGGGGCTAGAGTAATAGCACAGTGGGTAGGGCGTTCTAACGCGGCTGACCCGGGTTTGAATTCGAGCATCCCATATGGTCTCCTGAGCACCGCTGGGGGTAATTCCTGAGTTCGTTAGCCAGGAGTAACCCCTATGCATCGCCAGGTGTGACCGAAAAAGCAAAAAAAAAAAAGTCATTACACTAAGGCAGTGCTGTAAATTTATTAAATATTAAATTGTGTCTGGATGTATTCCTTCTTTCAGAATAAATCCAATGCCCCTAGTGAGAATAACCTGGCCTTCCTGTGCAGTGGTTCTGGCGACCAAGGGGAGTGGCTGCTTGGACAAGATGACAGTGCCCTGCAGGGCCGGCACCTGCCGCCTTCTCCCCGGAAGAGGGTTTCCTCCAGCGGTTTGACAGATTCTTTGTTTATGCTGAGAGAAGAGAACAGTGAGAAAAGCCTCAGTGCGGACAATGTGAACAGCCTCGTGGTGGCGGAAAAGCCAGCATCCTCTTTGGCAGTGAGTTTCCAGCTCGCTTCTCGTGGAGTCGCCCAAACGGACAAAGGAAAAACAGAACAGAAGGAAACACTAAGCCAGATTTCAGACGACCTGCTTATCCCCAGCCCTAGGCGACGGCCATCTACTTTTGTTCCTTGGGAGAAAGAAGGAAGCGAAGACAAAGAGACTTCTGAGGACGTGGGGCTGCTTCATGAAGTCGTGTCCTTATGTCACATAACCCCTGCCTTCCAGCAAGACTTAAACATTTCAAAAGAGAACCCACGCAGAAATCAAACTTAATCCAGCAATTAAGAGTCAGTCACTTGCACCAAGCTTCGATGGAGTTATTTTAGGATTCTGTGTAATCTTTACCGTACATGGATTATTTGTAGGAATGACAGCGCTTACTGTGGTTTTCAAAATTATTTTTCATTTGGGACATACATCTCCCTGATTCAGTCATCTCCTGGGTATATAATGTTCTTTTTTTTTAACGTAAAGCTAATTCTTCAACTGTGCTCTTAAATCAGGTACTAGATAATATGTATGTGGAAGTATATATTTATCATCTGATATCCCAGTATTTGGTGCTTAATGCCATTTATTTTATTTAAGTATGCGTATACAACCCCTCCATATACCTGTTAGCTATTATAGTAATCTAGTTGAGCATGAAATAATCAAGATACCAAAACTTATCAGAACTCGCCTGAAACTGTTGACCCACTAATTGCCTTAATCTCACTCCTATATGAAGCGTACTTAGCTTATGAAATGTATTTACTTACAAATTTTGATAGGTAACTTATAAGTGTTCTGCAGAGCAATAATGCCTTTTGCTAGTCATTAAATCAAGGACAAAATTCATTTGTTTTCCAAGCTGTCCTGTGGACACTGCACCCATGTTTCTAAAAATCAAGGTACTCACTTACCTCCCATTCAGTGAGAGATATGAAGTACTCTATTGCAATGTGAAATGAATGACTTCTGTTTACAAATGAGACACAGGAAGCATTTTCCCCCCCATTCTATGCCTTTGCCATCTAGAATAGAAGCCTATCCCAGAAAGCCAAATACAACATAAACTGTCCTGTTGAAAAAAATGTTCCTGTCTTCTAAAACTAATAATTTTCCATTCGAATACTTAATAACATCATCTTAAATTTGTATTTTGAAATATTTGATTTTAGAGTTCAAAAAGTTTAGCATTATAGAAACAGTATGAAATAAAACACAGCATTCCCAAAGGTTTCTGCACACAGATGTCCCTTATATGAATATATTAATCTGGTACATTCATCACAGTTTAATGAATGAATATGGATCATTTTGTCCCTTATATGAATACATTAATCTGGTACATTCATCACAGTTAATGAATGAATATGGATCATTTTGTTCAGATTTCAAACTTTCTTCAGTTGTTCCTATGTTTCAGGATCCCTTCCAAGACATGTATTTGGTTGTCAGGTTGTCTTGACTATGACTTGTGTCTCAGACTTCTTCTTTCTTTTTTTCCTTTTTGATGACATTGATAAGTTTTGAAGATACTGGTTTGCTGTTTTGTTTGATACCCTCTATTGCAGTTTGCCTAATTTTTTTTTTATGATTCCACTGGAATTATAGGCTTGGGAGAAAAGGGATACCAAAGTGGAGTGCCATTTTCATCACATCATGTCAGGGGTATGAGATAGTCACCAAGATTGTGACTGTTGCCCTTGGCCTTTTGAGTCTAGCCAGGGCTTATATTCCTCAGCTTTCTCTACTCTGATGTTACTCATTGCTCCTCTTTCCCAGACTTTGACGGAAGCCATTGTATATGGCCTACACTGAGACGCAGAGACTGTGCTTTTCTGAGCAGAGTAAATTATTGGGTTTCTGTGTGCAGCTTTGACTTTTCTCCCTCACGTTCACTATGAAACTTTGAAATTGATCAACAAAGGAATCATGGTCTCATTGTCTCATGATAGCCGAGATTGATAATAAGAGGGAAAAAATAGTGGTAATGTGGTTAATTTATTGTTATTACATTCAACACAGATACTCTAAGCTCACCTAATCATGAGTTTTTAAATTGTCATTTAAACAAAGATGTTTGGAAAAACACTCAAGAACTCCATCAGGATTCTAAGATACTTACTAAAATAATTTTCTATTATAAAAAATTCTAGAATGAGTTTTTATTTAAAAACACTGTGTGAAACTATTTTATCAATGTTTAATGAAAATGATACAATGAAAAATAATCCTTAGCCACATTCTAAAAACTGTGATTTTTATTGCTGCAATTATTCTTGCTTAATAAGAAAGACAAATATTTTGCCTTAGAGGTAGTCTTATCTTTTTCTCAAGAGATAAACTGTATACTTTAAATCTTTAATTATTATGTTTAACATAAAAGACTGAAGATTCTTTTCAAATTTTTCCTGTACATAATAATTTACCATTTTACTTTTCATTATTGAAATACTTAGTCAAAGAATTCCATATATCAGAAAACCTGTTTTAAATAGAAGAAAAAATGGTTACTTTGTTGATTGGCAAAAATTCCTATAGAATGTTTTAAAAGAATATAGGCAGCCTTTTAATATAATTATTTGGAGTGCATATTTCAACTTTGGAAGATTTGGGACTTCAAATTCCATAGTGTGAATAATAAAATCTTGACTGCAGCATAGGCAAACATTGAATCACCTAACAATATGCTTGACTGTAAGACTGTGTTATTTTTGGAGAGTCATTCACAGGCAATACTTGTGTCAGGTATTTTAAAGTGGATTTGTGCCTTATTTTAACATACAAAATCAACTTTTATATTTCATATTAGAAACAAAAACAGAATCTCTGCATATTATTCTTGAAAAAATCAAAATACTAGCAAGTATTGATATTTCAAAGCATTCACATTTTGAGTATTCCAATTCTGTTCTGTTACTAGACTAGTATTATCATGAATATAAGGAGAATGAGTGAAATTAAGGTGAGTTCTGAAATAAAAGTCTTCATTTCCTGTTATATTCATATTTTCTCTTAGCAAATAATTGCAAGCTCCCCACTGTATATTTCTTTTCCCCAACAAGCAGCCCCTCTTACACAACAGAATTGAGTAAGTAAAGATTTTGGTTTGGGTATAGTGTTTTAAATAGCCTCTAGGCAAGAATCTTTATTGATTCCTACCTTTTTTCCTTTGCCCTTAAAATCATGGCATTTAAAGGGGATAGATGAGTGTGAATTTAGGAGCAATTGTTAAGTGAAAATTTCGTTAAATGGTAGAGTTTGATGGTTACTTGCATTAGCATATTTTATAAAAGCACCAAGGCAGAGCATGGTTTTTTTTTTCTGGTAATTAATTGAGAAAATAGTTATTCACTTTTTGTTCCAGTCATTAGTAGTAAAGTGCAGTACCCAAGGATGTGGGGGAAGAAAAATAAATGTGAGGCTGGAGCGATAGCACAGCGGGTAGGGCGTTCGCCTTACAAGCGGCCAACATGGCCGACCCGAGTTCGATTCCTCCGCCCCTCTCGGAGAGCCCGGCAAGCTACCAGAGTATTCGATATCCCAGACACAGTAACAACAAAGTCTCCAATGGAGACGTTACTGGGCCCGCTCGAGCAAATCAACGATCAACGGGAGGGCCTTTCTCCAAAGGCATCATAATCTTAAAATGTTCTAAATTTTCTAGCCAGGGGCCAGAGCAGTAGTACTGTAGCATGTAGGGCATTTGCCTTGCACGTGGCCAACCTAGGTTCCATCCTCAGCATCCCATATGGTCTCCTAAGCACATCCAGGAGTTATTCCTGAGTGCAATGTCAGGAGTAGCCCTGAACATCACTGGGTGTGATCCAAAAGCCAATAATAATAATAAATTTTATAGCCATTGTACTGTTTCTAATTTCATTAACTTTATTACTATAAGAAGTATAATATGCTGCTATCTATCTAAGGTACCTACTCTTAAGGAGCAAATTCAGAGACTCTTAGCAGTGAAGTGTCCTTGATTCTCTATCACCTCTGTACAGGGCTTTCTGTAGGAATGATGCTCTTTGTCATACCATGGGCCACTTCATTCAATTTGCAATTAAGTGAAGGTGTTGGGTGCATGTTGCTGGGATTCCTGTTTTACTGCCTTTTCTTGGCAGCATACTCTAGAGACAGCTCCCTCTCCTCACTTCCCCCACCCCCCATCTTTCTCCTGATACACACCCTTTACAACCAGCATGTGGCAGCGCTGTTCTTAGAGTCTGTGCTTACTAGTGGGATCCATGAATGCTGGTTAATTAGTTGTTTCTTAAATAAGATGAAGAAGTAGACTCCTGGTCAAGAGGAGAAAGCTGTGAATATTCTCATAATCAGTAGACCTTTCTTATTATTTCTTTTGTAAAAAAGCTGAGTTTTTCAGATTATTTTCACAAATTTTCTAAGATGAATTTTATTCTGTTCAGCATTAATTACCCCCATTTAGAGTACATATATGTAAATCACAATCTAAATTTAAAACTATAATTAGAATATTCAAATCTTAGACCTCCAAAGCACTTCTTAATACAGGAAATAATTCCGACAAACTCCATCACTACTGACATCCTTCCTATGTGGAATTTTCATTTCTTAAAGTTTATTTGAGAGGCAAGATTAATTTAAGAAAATATTTCGCTTTGGTCAATATATGGAACTGTGTAATTTAAAAATCATATTTTACTTTGAAAATAATAGGATTTTGTGCAATATTTTGTTGGCCATAATTTAGTCCATGTAATAGTATACATCGACTTCTCAAGCAGATGCCATAAGGTCATTTTTTTTCAGTATTTGTCTCAAACTGTATGTAGCAATGTTCAATGTGATTCTAGATTTAAATATTGTTTATTTTATTTACAGGAGAAATGTTTTTGTTTATTTAAAATTATTATGGATATTGCATTATAGTATCATAACTGCCTCAACAATAATAAATATGCAATAAGTAAACCTGAACTTTAGTATTGACAATATTGTTACTTTAAAAAAATGTATATAGTGCAGAATGCTGATTCTACATCTGTAACTTTAACAAATACTCACTTTCTGTACCACATAAATCTAAGGGGCGTTTGTATGGCTGTGACCGTGTCTATAGATTGTAATACCCTTTGTGATGAATCTTTGCTAGGATTTTTAAAGGGCATTGCCAATACTTTTTGACTGTAAATTAATTTTTGTATAATGTACAGTTTGTTTAGCCTTTAGAGCTCCTATAGATTTTTACCTTTCTTATACTTGAATGAGGCAGGAGAGCACTGTGGGGAATCTGTAGCTCAGGATGCGATATGTGGATATACCAAAAAAAAATAAATCAAGGTACTGAACAACATTGTTAACTGGAAGCCTTATATCCAGAAAGCTACTTTTTTTTTCAAACTATCGTTAGGTTAAAATGTCCAGTCTTCCATCCTAAAAGGTTGTAAAGTTATACATGATTACCTCTTTGATGTGATAAACCTCCAACTTCCTTCTCGTTCATTTCGCAGAGGAAAACCACAATTGGGTTCATTAATAAATCCACCCCCTAGTGACTAGGTGATGTTTAGGACAGGACAAAATTTGAACATTGTGCATGCTAAATGCACTACTTTATGTCAAGTCATCATCCTTCAAATAACTTTCATTTCTGTATGACAATTTTGAGAATGATTTAATAATTACACACCAAAAATAAGATTTTTTTAAATCTATGATTTAGTACTTAACAGCAATGCCTAATACAGGAAACAGGTATGGGCTGCATGAGTTGGTAACTTCAAATGCATAAAATTTTTTTACATGAAGGTACATGAGAGGTTCAAAACTGAACTTTTCTAAAAGCTTATTTCTTTTGCTTTGATTGACTATTTAAAGGGACTGAATATCTCGAGCTTTTTTGCTAGACTTGGTCACAGATACCTGCAAGATTCTACCCATCATTGCGATTTGTTTATTGTTGTTGCATCCTTGAGTCTACAGTATAAATCATCTCTAAAGCTGACTACTATTGGTAACACATGTGTATAGAAGTATTATTTGGGGAAGAAAATATGCAAAAACAGATTATTAGATGAACCACGCCTTACCATAAAGTGCCCAGCGACGCAGCTATAAAATAAAATTAGTCACAATGAAAACTTTGCATGGTGATGACTCTTCCTTTATTGGTATTGCAAGGAAGCCACAGGTGAAAGTCACATAAGTTGGGGTCCGTGGCATGAGACGAAGGGACCAATCCTTCGACTGGGTGCTGTGGGTCAGGGGCAGGAAGAAAGCCTGATTGAAAAGCACTTGTTGCTCGAGGAGAACTGTTTTAGGGGCCCTGCTGTTACTCTCTGAGCTTTGCCATTACTGCAGTGTAAATGAAGGCCTAAATCTTTCTGACAGGCCTTTCATGTGTAGTGAACTTATTTTTTTTGAGTTCTACAGTCGTAGAAGGATAGATAAGTAGGGCCTCTCGAAGTTTATCAGAGCAGCACTTACACAAGTTAATCAAGTACCGACCCTCCCTTGAGAGTGGAGGTTTCAAGATTAATTACAGTACTACTCCAGAAGCTCATAGGAGTATCTCATTTTTCCCACTTAACCTGTACTACTGATGGTTGTAAAATGTTAGTAAAAAGTTAGGTCTAGTAAAAATTTGTTTGATCAGAGATGAAATAAAAACAAGTGTATGATGAATTTCTTTCCACAGACAGGAAGAGCGAACATCCAAAAATGAAGAGGTTCACCTGGAGAAAAGGTGAAATTCCTTTGAAAGTAAGCACAGAGTTTCCAGTAGGTGCTGAATTTCTGGCAATAGGATGCTGGACTTGTTTTCAAAGAAAACAAAATGTGACAAGAAAAGATATCATTTCCTTGGACTCAGGTTTTGTTACATTTTACTGATTTTGAGTTTTAGCATTTTGCCTACCAACTTCATAAATTAATATTAATTCCTTCCAGTGCCTATATATGGAAATGATGGGCATATTTTGATATTTATTAGAAAGTTGAAAATAAAACCCAATTACCTTTCTATCACTTCACTTATCACTTAACTTCCCGTTAGTCGTCGATTTGCTCGAGCAGGCGCCAGTAACGTCTCCATTTGTCCCTGTCGCGTGCTAGTGTAGCCCAATGGCATCTGTTCGCTCCGGGAACATGAAGGGCCTCAAACCGATCGTTCATGATCTTGACGAAGAAGTCTGACCATCTGGTAGGTGGGCGGCCACGCGGTCTTTTGACATCCCGTGGAATCCAGTCGGTAACAGCTCTAGTCCAGTGGTCGTCTTTAAATCTCATTATGTGACCAGCCCATCTGATTTTCGACACCTTGGCAAATGAGACAGCGTCCCTGGTAACTACAACTGGTCTCTCATTACCTTTCCATATCTATATTAAATGAAAAATACATACTTTAGACTTACTATTGTAGTGGAATAGAATTTTCTAGCCTAACTATAACAGTGTACATAGAATTTTAAATATTAATATTAACAGAAAATATATGAATAGCAGAAAATAAGATTGCACTGTGGAAGTTATTGGGTGAATTAAAATCTTCCCCAAGTTCTGCTATTAATTCTGGCCCATATTTTTGTAAGTATGCAGCTTAAGTTTTGCTTAAAATAGAAGTGTCTCATCTTAGAATGAATTATCAACATAAACTGAGAAACTGGTTTATATGGCAGCTGCCTATATAATCAGAGAGATAGGAAACATACCTATTTAACTTAGTTTGAATTCATGGTTGTTTAAAATTTAAAACAAACAAACTGTAAAAGTCTTAAATTTTACAATAAGTCAATGTCTTTAAGTCAATGTCTCTCAAAACTAACTTTTTACTGGAATCAATAATACAGGTTGAAAAGGGGAAAATGAAATATTCCTATGAGTTTCTGGAGCAGGTACTGTAATTAATCTTTGGTAGGCATGCAGAAACTGAATAAAATAATTCAGTGGTGCCTTCAAGTCAGCAAATAACAAAACTGCTATAATCTAGTTTAGCTGCCATGCTATTAAGCAGAAATTTTGGACTGTTACTAAATGGCTTCTTGACTGCACATTTCAGGAATTTTTTTTTAATGTAGGAGTACTGCTATTTATTCAGCCACTGATTAGCTTATTGAATTGCGCATGAATTCCACCTTACTTTTTTTTCTTCATAATTTTATTTATTTTTTTATTTCTTCTTATATTTATTTATTGGATCACTGTGGGAAAAGTTACAAAGCTTTCAGGTTTAAGTCTCAGTCATACAATGATCAACCTTTCACTTAACCAAGTACTCATTTTTTACCACCAAGAACCCCAATATACCTCCCTCCAACCCCTCCCAATGCCTCTGAGGCAGATGATTTCTACTTAACTCTTCTCTACATTGATAACATTCATTATTTCGACAAAAGATGCACCATTACTGTTTAGAATCCGCCCCCCCCCCCCAACAATCAGAATTGCTGAAAAGGCATTGTGAAATACTTTGTTTTCTATAGCTGGTTATGAGAATCATATAATGTCATGCTGCCACGATAGCGGCCGCACGATTTTGGATTTCTGCAAAGAGCCAGATAATTAGGAGATTGGTTTCTGTGTGTCTGGTGTTATGGCTGTGCCTGAGAGCCACTTATGGGGGCAACTCGTGACCTCAGTAAGGCGTGAAGGACGAGCTAGTACCACCCCCTTCCCATGAGACTGCAGTTGACTCATCACCGCCGGCTCATACCTAGCTTTCCAATAAGCTCTGAGGCGGCAGCCACCTTGTATGCAGTCCAGATGCATTTCTGCCAAAAGCCGCTGGGTTTCAAGATTTGTTTCTGAGTCTTTGGGATCATGGCCATTAATCAGCTTGATCAGGAGCCAGAGAGGCCGTTTGTAGGTGGCAACTTGGGGTCTTGTTGGGAAGGGGAGGAAAGGGCTGGTTCCACCCCAATCTGGTGAGGCCCTGCGTGTCTCGTCACTGCAGGCCCAAACCTAACTGTTCAGTGTGCTCTGGAGGATGGCGGTCACTGGGCCACCAGGGGGAATAGGCCAAGGCACGAAACCTATTCCCACCTGGAGTGGCACAGCACCAGTAACCTACTGCAGGAACAGGACACATTTCTGCCAAAAACCTTTGGGTTCTGAGATTCGTTTCTGAGTCTCTGGGATCATGGCCGTTAAGCAGTTCAATCAGGAACCATAGAGGCCATGTCTCCAGTTATGTAGTTGAGCCAGAGGTGGTTTGTGGGTGTGTCTCCCACATACCTAACTTTTGGCCGTTTACTTTCTTGGTAAATTTTGCCCCAAGTTTTTGGGATCTGGCCAAAGGCACAGCAGCAATTTTGGGGTATCTGAAAGTCTGACATTGCCATCAGGCTGCTGATGCACTCACCTCACAGGTACAGATTGACCTGCTGACGACATCATAACCCCATCAAGAATTTTTTATTTTAAGGACAGACTTTCCTGATACCTTTTGATGAGATGGCATGAGCTCAGATTTTCCTCCCCCCCCTTCCCACCCTCCCAGCCTACCTCTATGGCAGGCACTTCTCTCTCTCTCTCTCTCTCTCTCTCTCTCTCTCTCTCTCTCTCTCTCTCTCTCTCTCTTCCTTATGTATTGTGTTTTGCAGTACAGATATGGAAAAGATACCAGGAATATCCCTTTACCTGCTTTTAGCACTGTGTTCTTGTCCAATGTGATCATTTCCCGCTACTTAATGTCATACTGTTCTCTTCTCTATCTTACCTACTCTCTGCCCCTCACACACTTGTGGTTTATTCCAACCATTGACTAGTCCTCCTAGCCCCTGTTTTCCCTGTTTATGTATTTTAATCTTTATAAATAATATAAATTAAAATATTTATATTATATATACATATATATTAAAATATACTCATTTCACTCAGCATGATACTCTCCAGGTCCATCCATTTATAGGCAAATTTCATGGCTTCATTTATCCTAACAGCTGCGTAATATTCCGTTGTATAGAGGTGCCATAGTTTCC